TACTATTCAGGTTCCTTCGCCTCCAATTCTATTTGGTTCCTTAAATGCTGTAAATCCTCTGAAGCCTACGAAGAGAGTTGTGTTTAATAAAGGGGAACCTGGTATGTATTGGTCCCCTGTTGAAACTATGGAGCTTTCCAAAGGTTTTAATCAAACTCTTATTGGCAAATGTGCCTATGGTAGACCCTCACTGGGTGTGGTAAAAGAGTTTATTAATTCTAGATGGTTATTGAAGGGGGAATTTTCTGTAGGAGTGCTTGATCCGAGGCATGTACTGATTAGATTTTCTTTGTATGAGGATTATGTGAAAGTATGGCTAAAGGATAATACATACATTGAGGGTTACCTCTTTCGTTTCTTCAAATGGTTTCCAGAATTCTATCCTGGGATTGAGCCTCCTGTTGTACCAGTATGGATATCTTTGCCAGGTCTTCCAATCCATTTGTTTAATAGAGAGAGTCTGAGGGACATATTGAGTCCAGTTGGTAGAATTTTGGTGATAGACAATGCTACTCTAAATCTCTCTAGGCCTGGTGTAGCCAGGGCTTGTGTGGAAATGAATCTTCTGGCCAGTAATCCTAGGAGATTCTGGTTAGACATGGGGGGAGTGAGTGGTCGTTGGCAGAGGATAGTATATGAAAAGGAGTATAAATATTGTCCTGCTTGTCTTAAGCAAGGGCATGATGAAATATTGTGCAGAAGAAAGAAGAAGGTGGAAGGTGATGCCTCTGAGAATAAGCAAACAACTGAACATGTTCTTAACAAGGATGAGGAATGGAGGAAAAAGAAAGGAAAAGCTATTGTTATAGATGGACTGAGTGTGCATCCCAGAAAGGAATATAGACAGAAATCCATGAATCAAACTACTGCTGTGGAGAATAGCTTTGCTGTACTGAATGAGGAGGTTGGAATGGAGGAAATGGATAATGGCAGGAATTTATCTGAAAGTTTACCTGAAAAGGTTATTGAAAATGGATTATCTTCTGTTATTATGGTGAATATTGATAATGCTGCAAATCCAAATATTACAACTGTTGATGCTGAGGTGGGAAATGCAAGGGTGATTGGAATGGAGGATATGGAAAATGGTAGGAATATGGCTGTATTGGGGCAGACATTCAGTGCTGATAAGAGTCCTGATATTGGAGCATCTGTTGCTGATAAACTGATCACTGATCCAGTTCCACAGGAGATGATCAATGTGTGTAATATTGCAAATGCTGCTTTGATTAATGATGTTGTGGGTGTTGAGGTTGGGTCTCTTGATATTTCCCCAATGGTTGTGGATTGTGGAAATCAAGAGGGTGATGGCACTGATAATGTTGGCATCAGTCTGGAATCTCCTATTCTGCCAGATCATGAAGGTACTAACTTGGAGATTTCTTATTCTTCATCTCCTATCTTTTTGCCTGTTGCTAATGAGGTGGTAAATGTGGGAGATATTGATGGAAACAATGTTAATATAGGGGAAAAACTAGTTCCCCTTAATCAGAGTTTGAATGATGTCAACCTAATGGAAGTTCTTGGAGAGTGTAAAACTCTTTATGCTCAATCTTTGGGTTCTTCCTTTTTAGTTGAAAATGGAATGACTGTTATAAGAGGGAGTCAGAAGTCTTTAGATGATCAGAATGGTTTGATTAGAGTAAGAGAACCTCCAGATAAAGGTTACTACTCTGATCAAGCTAGTTCTAGGACTCAGAAGGTTGTAAATGTTGATTCTGATAATTCTGGTAGTTCTTTGGATGGAAATGAGGATGATAATGGATTTAGTTCCAGTGGTGTCCACTCTTCTATGAATTTATGATTAATTTTCTATCATGGAATATGAGAGGGGCAGGTAAAGATGCTAAGAGGAGGAGATTAAAGAAACTCATTAAATTGCATGATGTTTGTTTTGTTGCAATTCAAGAGCCCAAACTGTTGGTGTCCAAACTGGTTCCTTTTGCTAGGAGCATTGGATTAGAGCATTTCTGTTCTAATACTTTAGCTGAAAGGAATATTTGGGTTTTATGGGATGAGAGAATCAAATTGAAGGTAATGTTTGAACATGTTCAAGTACTGACTGTGGAAATTACACTCAGGAATTCACTTATTCTTTGGGTTTCTGTTGTATATGCTAGTTGTGATATTTTTGAGAGAAGGTCCTTATGGTCACATTTGTTGAGTATAGATGTTCCTCCTAAGGTTCCTTGGATGGTAGTTGGTGATTTCAATACCATTCTATCTTCTGCTGAAAGATTGGGAGGAGCTTTTCCTTCTTTGCTATCTATGGAGGAGTTTGGTGACTTTTTGGATCACAGGGGTTTGTTGGATGCTGGTTTTGTTGGAAATAAATTTACTTGGTGTGATAATAGAGCTGGGGTTACAAGAATGAAGCAGAGGCTGGATAGAGCTCTGATTAATCCTTATTGGAATCTGGAATTGGACAGCATGGAAGTGGTTCATCTGGCAAGAGGTTCCTCTGATCATAGTCCTTTATTATTGAAAATTATGGATAGTCCTATACAGAAAAGAATTTCCTACTTTAGATTTCAAGATATGTGGTGTGATCATGAAGATTTTCTGGCTTTAATTAAATCTAAGTGGACTGGACAGTATTCAAATAACCCAGTGTCAAATGTGTTCATCAAAATGAAATATCTGAAGGCTCATATGAGGAGGTGGAATATAGAGGTTTTTGGTAACCTTTTTGAAAAGTTGAAAGAGTTTGAACAGAAGACTAGTGGAATTGAAATGGAATTAGATCAGAACTTTTCTGATTCTAAAGCTTTAGAGTTAGAAGTAATTAAAGGTGAGATGGATGATTGGCTGAGAAGAGAGGAAATCTATTGGAAACAAAAATCAAATGTGAAATGGGCTATTCAAGGAGAGAGAAATACTAGATTTTATCACTCTATTGCTAAAAGTAGAGTTATCAGAAACAAAATCTCAAGAATTAAGAATAAAGAAGGAGTGTGGGTATATGGGGATAAGCAGGTGGCTGATGTTGCTGAGGAATTCTATACTGATCTTTATAAGTCTGAGGAGCATATCATCAAAGAACACATATTTGATGTTATTCCAAAGCTTATCAGTAATGAGGATAATGAGAGACTTACAGCTGAAGCTACTATGGAGGAAGTGAAAGATGTTGTTTTCTCAATGGCTATAGAGAGTGCTCCTGGACCGGATGGTATGTCTGGTAAGTTTTTCCAATTTGCCTGGGATATCATTAAAGATGATGTGGTCAAAGCTATTAATTTTTTGCTTAAAGGAGGTGTGATCCCCAGATCTGTGAATTCTACTTTATTGGTCTTGATTCCTAAGAAGGAGGATCCTAGTACATTTTCGGATTTCAGACCTATAAGCCTATGTAACTTCATGTATAAGATTTTTACAAAGCTTCTAAACACTAGATTATCTCCTCTACTTCCTGCTCTGATATCTGAGGAGCAACATGGTTTTGTTCAAGGCAGAGGGATTAGTGATTGTGTGGCTTTGGGGCAACTACTTGTTGGTGAATTGAACAGGAAGGTTGAAGGTGGCAATATGGTTATGAAACTAGATATGATGAAGGCATATGACAGGATGGAATGGGATTTCTTGCTGAAAGCTCTGGCTAGTTTTGGATTTTCTGATTTGTTCAACCATATCATTTTGAACTGTTTGAATAGCCAATTCTTCACTATATGTTTAAATGGGCAAAGGTATGGTTATTTTGCTAATTCAAGAGGACTAAGGCAGGGGGATCCTATTTCTCCTTCTTTATTCATCTTGGCTGAAGAAGTACTGAGTAGAGGGCTGAGGAGCATTTATAGTCAAAATTTGGTTAATCATTTTCATATTGGGAGAGGAACAACTATTGTGAGTCACCTATTGTTTGCTGATGATACTCTGATTTTTCTAAGAGGTAACAGAAAATCTGTATTGAATGTTATGAAGTTTATTGCTATATATGAATCAAGCTCTGGTCAAAAGGTTAACAAGTTGAAGAGTGCTGTTTTTTGTTCTAAGCTCATTTCCTTGTCTAGAAGGAATAGTTTGGCTACTCAGGTGGGAATTCCTTTTAAAGAATGTCCTTTTACTTATCTGGGATGTCCCATTATCAGAGGAAGAATCAAGAAATGCTATTTTGAAGAGGTGGTGAACAGATTCAGGAAGAGAATTGAGGGTTGGTATGCCAAATTGTTATCTGGTATGGGAAGAATTGTACTGATACAATCAGTACTTAGTTCAATCCCTATTCACATATTGGCTTGTCTGAATATTCCAAAAGGTGTACTGAGTAAGCTGAATTCTCTTATCTCTAACTTCATCTGGTCAAATCAGATTGGATCTAAGAGAAGACACTGGGTTTCATTGAATGATATCTCTAAACCTAAAACAGAAGGTGGTTTGGGAATTAGGAGTCTTGAGGAAATTCAAACAGCATTTAGAATCAAGCAGGTTTGGGGTATTTTAAATGGTTCTTCTTTGTGGGCCAAAGTTTTTAAAGAAAAGTTTTTTCATGGGAAGCATATGATTAGATGTGGAACTAAGNAAAACATATACTGAATTCTCTGGCAGTAATGTATTGCCAGTGGCTGGAAGGTTAATTTTGCAGCAAGACCAGACTGGTTTACCTAATGCCAGATTGAAAAGAATACTTTGTAAGCAAAGGAAGGGAATTGGTTGATTAAAATGTTTGTCTGAGTTTGAGTAGGGCTGTAGAAGAAAGTTGCCAAACAGATTATCCATCAGAATTTGTAAATCCCAATATCAGTTGGGGTCCTCTCTCATTCTGCTTCTTCTGTGCATGTAGNAGGTCTGACACACATGATAAACTTATATGGAGGCATACCAAATCAGGCTGTTTTACTGTTAAATCTGCTTGGAATGAAATTAGGAAAAAGGGGTCTCATAATGATATAGTTCAAGGTATTTGGAAGCAGGGAATTTTTCCTAGTGCTCAGTTATGCACCTGGAAAATTTTTAAACAAGCCTTGACTTCTGATGACAGAATTCAGACTGTAGGAGTGGCCATGGCTAGTAAATGTGTAATGTGTGGTACAGCTGGGGAATCTAT